TTTCACATGTGCAAGGTAAGAGTCCCAAAAGCTCATCTTTCCATTCCTGCAGTGAGCGCTTGCTAAAGCTGAGGCAGTGGCTGGTGGAAAGTGACTCATTGGAGTTTCTGATTGCCTCACGTCTCTCCTTGGGAATATGCTCAGATTCTCAATAAACCCATCAAGTTTACTGTGATTCTGCAGTGGTATTTTGGTTTTGGTTTATTTTCCTTTTTGTTTGCTAGTGTTGGAGGTGTAACCGTTTAAAAACAAAGTGATTTTTAAAAGTCATCCAAAATCCTAGCTCATTTTCCATTGCTCAGGAGCTCACGATCTACTTGGCTTGCCTCTCGTCACTGCCTGGTGGCTGTTGACTGCTGCTCAGAAGCCCAAGGCAGGTAGGTGGAGTCGCTGTAGAACAACCTCCCACTCAGGCCTCTGTGTTCTTCCAAAGGAGGGTCGGGTGGCTGGGGCAGATGTGAGAACCAGGGCAACCACTGGGGCCTTCTTTGATTTAGGAACAGGAACTCCCATATATTGCTGCTGGGGATGGAAAGTAACATAATTCTTATGAAGGAAAAACTGTCCCCAGAGATACAAAGGCAAAACTATGAAAGACATAGGTACGTTGCTGTAATATTTTTAATAGTGGAGGACTGGAAACAACCCAAATGCCAATCAAGAGTGACTGGTTGAATAAACAATGATATGTTCTCATAATGGAACATTTTATAATGGAGAATATACTATATGGTTCTATGCAGTAATATCCAATATATTAAGCAAGAAAAAAAAGCAGATTAAAGGAAAGTGTGACCTAGTATGCTCTCATTTATCATTTGTTTGTATTTTTTAAATGTAAGGGTAAAAGGAGAAAAATTGATTACCTACAGCAGGAGGAGGAAACGGGGCATTGGTTCAGAAGATAGACTTCTCTGAATACACTTTATGTTGTGGATTTCACTTTGGAACCACGTAAATAGCTCACATAATTATCAAACATTTTAAATTAAAAAGTAATCTCTAAAAATCTCAGCAAAATGAAGTAAATAAACATAATCTTGATTATAGTTTGGAGCATACCACAGAGAGACTAATTAAAACAACAAGTTCACTGTGTACCCCTAATAGTGTAAACCTTCGGGGCAAAAAGAGTTGCAAAAGAAACATTTTAACTGTTTTCAGTAATCACAGTTTTGTAGAAGTGTTGGCATTGTTAAGGATTTTTTAAAATGTGTAATTATTTTGGTGATGTTGAGAAGGAGGTTTTCATAATGAGAGAAAGGAGAGCAGATATAGGATCAATGAAGTTATATTAAAACAAAACACAAGAGAACTGTCGTCCTGAATTGAATTGGAAGTATCATCATAAACTCATGAATGTTTTATCTTTTTAAAAAATACAAATAATAACATATTTCCTATTTTTAGCCACTAAAGCCAAGAAACAATGACCTAACCACTAGCAATGAGCATACCTAGCACCCAGATGTTGTTCTCTAATTACCATTCCCCATTAGAAGGAACCAGGGATTCTTGGGAAAAAATGGCTAATTTCAGGGCTGGGGTAAAAAAATAAACAAGATAGCTAGGAAACCATCAAAGAGGACTAGGGCCATTTCAAAAGAAATCAGCCAACTTGAAGCAGTGCCCAAGGACCAAAGATAGAACAATCTGAGCAACAATAAGGATAATAACTGCAATTATTAATAAGGATAATAACACATGTCAAATAGATTTCAGCCATGAGTTTACAATGTATGCAAAGAAGAAAACAACTCTCACTAGACATCTTGGAAAGATGACAGGGAACCTCCTCATTTTGAAAACTGGAAAATAAAGAGAAAGGGCATCAAGAATTCATCCTGCCTCTCATAGACAAACCAAATATCAGGGTAACAAAATAAATTATGAATAGAAGTTTCTCTTTATAAAGTATGTCAGCCAATAAACAAAGAAAAAAACCCAGTAGCACTAGAATATTAATTACAACCCCTAAAGAAGTAATGGATCTATGCAATAATCATCAATGGCTGCTAACATCAGAAAAGAGAGGCAATCAAATATGTGCCTTCTACTGGAAGTACTTGTCAACACCAACGATAAGCAGTCCTGCCAAAATAGATCTAACTTGAATCTGATCAAATCTGTGGATTCATAAGAAATAGAAAGGTCAGAGGAACATGTTAAAAGACACCAAAGAGATACACTCAGGAAAACCCAGACTGTGACAAATTCTACAGTATAAACTACACAATACTCTGTCTTCTAATAAACCTCTGGATTATTCTAATATATGCTGAAATGTGAGATCCTCTGCTACAGATTAAAAAACACTTAAGAGGCATGTCAATAAATTACAGTGCATAGACCTAATTTGAGCAAATAAAAAATCATGAGCCACTCAGAGAAATTTGAACAATGATTGAATATTTAAAGGTAATAAGGAATTACTGTTAATTTTTAGATGTGAATGATATTTAAGTTATCCTTTTTAAAAGGGTCATTATCTTTTAGAGCTATATACTGATATATTTATAGATGACATGATGTGGTGTCTGAGACTTACTTCAAAATCACGACGTGAAGTGAGGGTAGATGAAACAAGATTGCCCAGTGTGTTAATTGTTGAAACTGGTGATTCAAACATGGGGTTCCTTGTACTATTCTCTCTACTTTTGTATATGTTTGTAACTTTACGTATTAAAAAGTTTTAATGCCCCCCCCAAATAATATGAAACTATGTTGCCTAAGGCATCGGTCCCCAACCATTTTAGCACCAGGGACCAGTTACATGAAAGACAACTTTCCCACAGACAGAGGGGGCGGGGGAGGCGGAGCTCAGGCGGTGATGTGTGTGATGGGGAGCAGCTGTAAATACAGATGAAGTTTCGCTCGCTGGCTCACCACTGACCTGCTGCTGTGCAGCACACAGCTCCTAAATTTCACGGAAGACCATCCCCAATGGACAGTGGGGGGTAGGAGGAAAAGAAGGCGGAGCTCAGGCGGTGATGCGCCCAGTTCCTAACAGGCCACGGATCAGTACTGGGCCATGGCCCAGGGATTGGGGACTGCAGACCTAGGGTACAAATTAATTCCTGTTAACTACTGGCTACTCTGACCTAGCACAGATTGGAGCTATGAAAGGGCAAAGGAGAAGTTGGTTTCCGTAGGAGAAAGTGAGGAGAGAGGGTATAGAGAACAAGACACTACCCAGGGGACAGGGGTCCCAAGCACTCAGGCCTTCATATTTGGAGCCATGGGGCCTGGGGCTCAGCGTGTGATTTCATCAATGGGAAACAGGTTTGATGACGGCAGCTCTTGGTGATGAAAACTGTTGCTTCAGATTGGGCCTGTTTGGCATCAAAGTCATCATCATATACCAGTCTGGGGGGAGGTGCCCTGCTCTGTAAACTCCCAAATCATTCCTGAGCTGCTGGGAAGTAAAAGGCTTGTTCCTCTGAACCACTCCTGTCCCCAGCAGAAAGAGCCCACGGCTGTGACATCTCACACTCAGGAACCTGGCCGGGCCCTTGGACTCTCCCACCTGGTGTTCCACACACAGGACTGGGTGGCGTGCAGGTTTCTGACCCAGCATAGCAATATTTGGAAACATAAGGCTGTGGATCATGTTTTAATAAAGTCTTGTAACAACCCAGAAAAGCAGATTTGCAGGCCCCTGTTCTGTTGTTAGAAAGAGATCACAGCTGAGCCCATGGGAGAAGAAAATTTTCAAAAACAACTCCTGACCATGTCTCACTCTTTGTCCAAAAAAACAGGATAAGGATAAACCACCCTAGAAACCATCTTAATATTTCCTTGATCACTGAACTAGAGACACACTTGCTCTGGCTACATCTCATACCAGGACAACTACAAATAATTTTTAAATAAAATATGTGTGATGAAATCTCACCAGTAGATTCACATGTATTTCGATATTGAAATTTCCTCTCTCCAGAACTTACTTGAGCCGAAAAAAAGAAAGAAAGAAAGAAACTAAGAAATTCCTCACAGCTCAGCTACCAGCTACCTCTTAAGTTTTAACCTTTCTGGGCTACCCCACTCCACCCCATGCTCAGCCCTAGCCTGTGTTTTCTTTCTTTGGTCACCTGGAGGGCATCACCTGTGGTTCTTCCATCAGAAGTAGGCGGCCCTGGAATCAGTGACAATGTGAGCACTTTCCTAAACTCTCCATGGCCAGATGTTGTCCTTACCAATCTCCCACATGGCAAGACAAATTTATTTTGGTGGAACAATCCCAAACGTCACCTCTGTGTTCTGTGTCTTATTCATTTATTCCAGTGTATCCAACCCAGGCAGGAAGATAGCCACTATCCCCTCCTAGAAGGAACTGGGCTATCTCATGCTCAGGGAGGAGTCAGGTGGGCAGGGAGGAGCAACAGACTTTATTTCTTCAGTTATAACACCAGATATGTAGTTGAGATAGGATTTCTCAAAAGGGAAGTAACCCAGGCAGAATCCTGTTTTAATGATGGTTCCTTGGTGTAGAAGGATCTGCGTGGAGTTTCCAGGCCCTCCTGTGACTCTCTGATAAGGCCGGCAGGTGTGTCAGAGGGAAGGCAGACAACGTGTCGCATCGGGTCGTGGGAGGAGACGTCACTCCCTGTGCCACATGTGCAGAGGCGTGGCTGGACCCTCAGCATAACCAAAACCACCTCATTCGGAGCAAGCTTGGCTGTAACAGTGCAGAAAGGCCAAAGATCACCTGACACCCACCATGAGCTTTTCCCTTCCCAGCTAGTTGCAACTCACGACGCCATCTGCACAGCATTCTGAAAAGCTGCCCATCCCCCAGAAAAGGTTTGAAAAAGTGCATCATCTAAGGGAAGGGGCTCAAAGCAGAAAATATGCGATGGCAGCAGTTTGGGTTTTGTGGCTGCCCTTCTGTGCCACTCCATGGGACAGTGTGTAGCGCTGCCCTGGAAACCTGGGTGAACAGGCAGGTGGGCAGGGACAAGGCGGGAGGGGAGAGATTGTCTGTCATAGGCAGCGGCCACAGTGGAGTCTTCCGGGAAGAGAAATGAGCCAGATCTCCATACCCCGGTCCCCCCATGGCACCCTTAGAAGTCATAGGGGGACACGAAGACGGTGACCTTGGACACATGGTTAGCCTGGAAGGAGCGGTCCAGGTATTCCGACATGTCAACGTCCACCTCCAGCGTCTGAGGCCCCTGCAGGGTCTGGACGAGGATGAGCTCCCCCGTCTGCCTGTCTGAGCGCTGCATCACAAAGTGGCCGCGGCTGTTCCCGCCCACGATCCCAAACCGCAGACTGTTGGGCCCGGCTCGGCCAGGGGCTGAGGCCGTGGCCATGCGGAAGAGCGTGATGGGCGGCTTCAGGTTGGAGGGCAGAGACAGGTAATGGAAGGAGATGGTCTTAGGCAGGTGGCGGCAGGATCTGCTGTCCATGGGGCAGGGGTTTCGCTCGCACTGGCTGGAGCAGAGAGGAGACACAGAGGCAGTCAGGCTTGGGGAGCCTCCAGGGGCTGCTCTGACCTGGTTGCCCCACCTGCCTGCTCTCAGAGGCCACCTGGGTGACCTTTCCCAGCCACAGGTCCCTCCCCCAGGAGCTATAGAGCTGCAGGCAAATGAATGTGGCTGGAGTCAGGCCACGGAAGGGGTGTGCCCCGACCCCTTCTGTATGTAGTATGTGTATGTATATATGCTATCACTATAGTTTTCACAGAAAAATGAAGCCTGGGAATATTAAATAACGATGGCAGTGCTGGTATTCAAACCAGGTGCCCTTTCTGCATGTGCTGAGGCCTCGCTCAGCAAGGGCGAAACCCCAGCACTCAGCTGGCAGCCTCCTGCAATGTGGTACTGCACACGTGTGAACTTTCCAGACGCAACACTGATTCTTAAAGCAGGAAACCCCGTCTTTCTTAACCGTTTAGAATCAGGGTCTTATGGAAATGCTTTAAATATTTCTCTATCTTATCAAATGTAAAAGACAAATACAATGTTGCATATTTGGTGATTCAGTGTCTCATGATTATGTAGGTCAAATAACACATCTAGCTGTTAATCTAATGGCTGCAAGCCCATCATCCTCTATGCAGCAGGGGAGCACTTGGTACATTACTCGCCTTGGAACCAACTGGGTTCCTGCTGTGTTACAGCAGCAATGCATTAAATGCAACCACTAAAGGGAAATGGAAGCTCAGAGAAGCCACACTCCCAGCCCCTTGCCTCTCCTCTTTCCTATGACATATTAACCTTCTCTCAAGAGCCTCTGGGCAGAATCTGGACCTGCCTCACTTGGAGGCCTGGGTGAGGGATGTCTGTACCCGTGGGAGCAGGTACGTGGGTGTGCATGGGTGAGGGATGTCTGTGCCCAGGCACGGGCAGCCCTGGCTGTACTCACAAGGGAGATGTCTTCACATAGCTCACATTGCCGCTGCCCTCGGGGCACTCGGGGCTGACGCACTGGAAGCCTCCACCAGTGTTGATGCACGTGGTCCCCTGCGGACACATGTGTTGTGGGCCCATACACTCATCGACATCTGAAATATAGGACATACCACGAGGTGAGAATGTCCTCAACTGTCCCTCCATCACAGACAGAATGCCAGGAGAGGACCTCATAGGCACCGGAACTTGGTGCTCCATGCATGGGGAACTTTCCAGATACCCAAATCTTATTCTTAAAGCAGGAACTGTTTGGAACCCGGCTCTGGCAGAAGTGCAGCAGAATGGAAGTGCTAGGGAGGACCCTCCCTGCGGTCTGGTCCTTATCCCTGGGTACGGCAGGTGGCAGGGGTGCCGGAGAGCACGAGTGTTACCCGTCACGCTTCCCTCAGACTTGCCTCCTTCTCAGCCCAAGTGCCCTCGAGTCTCCCCTCCATGGCTGTTACTTGTCATCAATTTTTTAAAAAAGACTCAAATCTTCTGGAAAGCCTTCCTCTCAGCCTCACCCCATGCCGAATGCAGACGTCCCCTCTCTGTCATTTGTGTGAGTTTTCTGCTCCCTTTCCAGGCATCCAGTGAGCCTCTGCGGCTGGACACTGCCTCTTCCCAGCCCTGAGCCATCCTATGTGAGCCTCCGTGAATACGGTGGGGAGGACGGCTGGGGGCTGGATGGCTTCTGGACGCCTCCCCTACTTCTGACAGGCTGCCCACTCCTCTGAGCCCTGCAATGGAGCCCCAAGAGGATATCGCTGGGCAGTCAGCTCTCCTCACGTAGCCCCGCGTCAGCCTGCGGAGAAGCCCTCTGCCCTCCCTCCTCCACCTCTCCCTCAGTGGTTCACAGCCATCGTCTGGGGCCAGTGGGGCTCCTCTCTGTGTCCTGTGTCCATGGGGGATGTCCAGCCAGGGGAGATGGGCCTGCCCATCCTCCTAGCGTAAGCCAGGCCCACATGACAGACCCAGTTCCCCCAAAGGCCCACTGTAGCACCGGGGTTCCAGGGCCTAGAATCAGGACGAACAATAGGAGACCCCACTTGACCTTCAGGCTGAAACATGTGTTCTGACTCTGAGCTAATGTGCAGATCTGGTGTGTCTGTCTATTAGTATCTGTATTTGCCCTAAGAGAAGTTGGGGCGATGGGAGGCCTCCTGCTGGTGTTCCCAGTGTCCCAGGACGTGCTGGTGGGGGTGATGGTGCCTGCTGTGAGGTCCTCAGCCTCTCCACTCTGCCAGCCCATTTTGTACACATCCTTTCCTGCCCGCGGGTGCCTCCCCGCTCACTGCAGACACTGCTTGCTGATCATGGCTCTCTTTCCCTGAGGGGCAGGCTTCAGCACTGGGGTGAAACCTGAGCCAGCTATTTTCCATTTGTACTAACTGCCCCCTTCCTCAAAATCCACTCTCTGGTCCTGGGAGGCTGACTGGTCTGGACTTTATCTCCTGGTTCCCAGGCCCTCTGGCTTCCAATCCAGTTTGGCAAATGGGAGGCCTGAGGGGCTGGGGTGTTTGTGTCCCTGCACCACCCCTGCCGGGATGTGGTTCTGGTGGCAGCTGTGTCCTCCATGGCCACAATCATCAGGCTCTCATAACTCCCCTCACCCCTCAAGCCCAGGGGCACTTCCGTCTAGTAAGCCCCAGGGGCTCCACCTCTCTTGTCCTCAGCTAGCCATCAAACAGGGCTGGTGCTGTGTAGCCCAACCTGGCTAAGGGATGTAAGTGCCTGTCAGATGCTGTCCCTTTCAGAGGCGGACATGCAGGTGCACACATGGGCTTATGAAGCCTTGTGGGCTCTTCCAGATTATATGACATGGGAGACCACCTGGCCATTCTGCCTTTGGGTCCAGCCCTAGCTGAAGGCATTGCTGAGTGGACATAAGTGACCTGACCTTGAAAAAACCAGTTACTTGCATAGACTAGAAGAGACTATTTGCCAGGGTGGTTAAGCAACTGCTTTTCTTATTTATGTAGATAATGATGTAGCCTGATCTTTGAGAGGCACTTTGGTCAGTGGTTTTTTAAAGACTGAAGGTATCTGAAACTTTGACTCCCCTAACCACCCCACTCCCGACTATAAGGTCCTGGGGGGTTCACAGCAGCAGTAGGTGACCTGGTGCAGAAGGCATTCGCTAGCCACCTGCCTCTGCTGTGGTCTTACTCACCCTCACAGCTCTTCCCGTCGGCCAGGGTCCGGTACCCGCTGGGACAGGTGCAGCGGTAGGAGCCCGGGGTGTTCACACAAGCATGCATGCAGAGCCGGGGGCGCCCCTCCTGCCCGTAGATCTCGCACTCGTTAACATCTGGTGACAGAAGTGCCCACTTTGACTCCAGGAGCCATGTGACGGGTGTTGCTGGCCATCACCCAAGACAGCCGCACCTCGATTCCTGGAAGTGATGGCAGCTGCAGCTAAGTGGCTGGGCCTGGTGCAGAGGCCCCAGAAGGGGAGCAGGTATGCTCCCCTTTCTCCCGAGCCAAGGGCCCAGAGGGCTGAAAGGAGGAGAGGGAGTTGATGTGGTGGACCCTAGAGGGGCGCCTCTGTCTAAGGCTGAAGGCCACCGGGGGAGACCCTGCAGAGGCTGGCAAATCAGGCCTGCCCCCGAGTGTAGGGCTGGCTTCGCAGCCCCCTTAACTCTCCCTACGTTTGGGAATGGAGTAAGAGGGTCTGGTTTCTGCTGCTGTAAAATGAGGCTATTAGCACCAACTGCCCAAATCTCAGGTTTGAACTTCTGGTTTGAGTGGGTTTGGGACAGAACTTTGGTAATCAGGAGAGGTTGGCAAAAGCGAGCTGGTCAGTAAAGCTAGGCCATGAGGGGACCAGGGAATAAGTCCCAGCCCCCTGCTACATCTGGCAACCACCGGGCCAACACTTACCTGTAACGCAAAGTGGCCTGGCTGGCTGACATCACGCCCAGGAAGCCGCCCACCTGCCCCCCCCTCCCCCCTGTACCCTGGGCGCGGGCGGGGTGCGCCCGTGCAGGCAGCAGCGCCGCGGGTGGCAGCCCTTTCCCCCGCCCCACGTCCTCCCTTGCTGTCCCCCGACCCCAGGGGAGCCCGCGCCTACCCTGGCAGACGCTGTCTCCGGCGGCGCCGCTCAGGTGGAAGCCGGCCTCGCAGCTGCAGTGCTGCGCCCGCTCCACCTGCGCACAGCGCGGCGCGCGGCTGAAGGCGGGGTCGCCGGCCACGCTGCCCTCGGGGGCGGCTGCGGGGAGAAGACACCCTCAGTGCCTGGCCCTGGCGCACCCGCCCGGGCCCAGATCTGGGGAGGGGCCGGGAGGAGAACCAAGACCGGGGCGCGGCCCCTTCTCAAAGAGCTTACTCTGGGGTGGGGAAAGGAAAGACAAGTAATTAACCATAAACCCAACAGCCCGGGCCAAGGCCACCCAAAGCGGGCGGAGGTCGGAGGTCGGAGCGCACCCGCATAGAATGTTCACGAAAAAGCAGGCCACAAAGCTGCACACCAAGAAGGACCCCTATGGTAAGTGCACGTTTTCACTCAAAAAGGTTTAAACAACCCCCAGATACTAACGGTGATCACAACAGTTTAAAACTACGGACCACTATTTTTAGGAAGTATTTTTTGTACTTTTCTGAAGTGTCTACATTTTTTTGTTTGATTTTTCATCAACAACATACATTATTTTTCTAATCAGAAATAAAAGTGGTTTTAAACATTTGCAGAGGATTTAGAGCTCTCATATGGTTGGGGGAGATTCAAGGGGATCAGTGGGAAGACTAGTCAGAGGCACAAGAGGACAAATGCCGCGCGATTCCACTTAGAGGAGGCACCTGCAGTCCCCCGATTCATAGAGGAAGGCAGGATGCTGGTCACCAGGGCTGCGCCGTGGGGAGTTGTGTCATGGGGACAGAATTTCAGTTCTGAAAGATGGAAAGAGTTCTGGGGCTGGATGGTGGTGATGGGTGCACAGCAGTGTGAATGTGCTTAATGCCACTGAACTGTACACTTAAAAATGGTTAAAATGGTAAATTTTATGTTATATATATTTTACCGCAGTGAAAAACAAAGCGAATGGATTTTTTACAGAGTAATTGGAGGGAGGCTCCGCCAGGGAGCAGGACGGCCACAGGCCAGCGAATGGAAGGCGGGCTCCCGGCTGCGGTCCCGGCAAGCAGGAGCCCAGGCGTCTGCTGGGCTGTCCGTGGGTGCTGCGAGGACAGGAGCTGGCTTCCGCTGTGCCTGCTCACTCCCTCTTCTTCCCCTTCCTGGTGAAAGGTCTGGTCATGCGGGTACTTCCCACAGTGCCCTGGACCTGAGCAACAGCTGCCTGATGGTCCTACAGCGAGATAAACCCTAACAAGTGGGGTTTAGAACATTAAGTGACCCGGGCTGGCCTATTTGGGGTGAGAGGGAGCCTATTTCTGTTTCCCTCTTGTTTGTAAACAAGGGGAGAGGCAGTGGGGCTTCCAAGAAGGCCTGCCTCTGGCCTCTGTTTCCACAGAAAGCAGTCCCAGGGACAGGAGCTGTAAGGGGGCCTCTGGGCTCCCCAGGGCTGGGGGGTTTGGGGGTGTCTCATTCTGAGAAAGTGCCCAGTCACCGACTCAGCTGACCTGAATCAAGGCACATTAAGCAGCAAATCTCTGGGGCACTATTTGACCCTGATCTTGGGCTGGGTCCAATACGAGGACATCAAGTATTAATAAAGCTCCTATTCTCCACTGCGTTAACCACTAATGCCCCCTCCCCCACAGAGATTCCACACAGAGACAAAGACAACCAGACAGAGCATGCCAGGCTTTTCTGGCAAAGGAATAGGACATCTCTGGGGTTGGACTGTTTTACGGATGAAACCTTGATTGCAGCACAGTGTGGGAAGCCTTGTCCATCCTCCATGGATTCCTTTTCGTTGGACTTTCTTGCCACATGCAACCAGCCATTGTGTGACTTCTTAGACCTTCTTAGACCTTCTAGGCTATGTTGGGACTTCAGATGTGAATAATAACCTCATCTCCAGTCAAATGTCCAGTTCTCCAGCTCTCAAAATACTTGGGCCTGCATCAGTAACTCCTAATTTTGCAGGATGTGATGAGAACATTTGAAAGCAAAGGCAGTTCTGCAGGCAGGAGAAATGCTGATCAAGCAAAGGTGGCCACAATGAAATGTTGCAAGCCATTTAGGTTGGGAGTCAGTTCTGCTTCCTTCCACAAGAAGGAGCAAAGCCCTGGCTGCCCAAAAGAGCTAAGCTCTGTCCATGTGACCACCTTAGGGACCCCGAGGGATCAAGGGATGTGAAACAGAGAGGAAAAGCCTACATCTCCGAGGGGGGCTGAACTCCCAACACGTCTGCGTCTAGTGACCCATGACCAGGGTCCTCCTCTCCCTGCAGCAGGACATGCTCACCCAGCCCCACAGCAGCTGCATACCGGTCTGGGCCTGGTGCTGACAGCGGCTCCCAGTCCTTCCTGGAGGACAAATGCATCTGTACTGGTTGACTCCTTCTACACACGTTCCACCATTTTGACAAGGCTGGCTGGAGCATTCGCTGATATCTAGGAAAATAAATGATTTTCCAATACCAGTATATGAGTTCTACTTTTAAAACAAATTAAAAATGATGGGTTAACTTTCTGCACATGGTAGGATGACTCCCGATTTCTGCCTCCCTCCACATCACCCTTGTCACCCTCTCCACCAGCAAGAGCTGTGAGGGGTCGGGCAGAGCTGGATTGGCCCCATTGCATTCAGCACACACTGTGCCCACCTGGGACTGTGTGTGCAGGAGCTGGCCCATCGCCCAGCCAGGTGCCACCCAGAGGCACTATTTTCTAATTTGCAAAGGTGCATTGTAGACAGTGGTAGCCAGGCAGAAGCAGCTACCTCTGGGCATCTGCCTGCATTGCCTCTGAGTCAGGCCGCCTTGCCCAGCAGCTCTGCCTCCGTCAGCCAGCACCTGGGAGGAATTCAGGGAGGGATGGCCCATTAGAATGTCGAGGGATGGGGAAAATGACTTTTCCAAATTCCCATACAGAAGCCCTCCTGTGCTCAACCAGTTAGCAGTTTTTTTTTACGTTTCCTTAATGTTGGTAAAGGAAGACGTTCCTTGCTCCTACACAACAGTTCTGTGGAAGAGGTGTATGGAGAGAGAGATACATATTTGAAAAGCTCAAAAGGTTTTTCTCTGAGTTGTAGGCTTATGGGTGATTTTCCTTTGCTTATTTATACTTTTTGCATTCTTCCATTTTTCCACAACATTTATAAACATTTATACATTTTTAATTAGGAAAAAATGACTTTTTAAAACCCTCGGGCCATGCATGTTTGTTTTGGATTCCCCAAGCCCAGTGAGACACAGGCCATTTCCACCAGAGAGAGGAAGTTTGTCAGCTCACTCACTTGACTACAGCGTTTTGGGAAAGAAAATTGAAAACACGTCCTTGTTGGCATCAGAGCACCTTCCTGCTGTGTCTGCTAAGGGGAAGAAACAGGTGCTTTGCTTCTAATGAGAACGACAGCCTTGTTTTGGGTGGATTGGAAGGGACTTTGGCTTCCCTGAAGTCTCCCTGTGATTGGGGTGTCATGTAGACTATTGTATGGTTTCTATTCATTGTAAAATGACCCAGACTGTCCAAATGCTGCTTGTCCCTGGAGAAGGAGCCATTTCTGTCTCTCAGTAACCTCAGCCCAGTTGCGCTGTCCCTCATACATCCTGTTTTCAGATGACTGGTTTCCAGGAATGTGTCCAAAATGACACTGTACACGAATGCCACAGAGCTCGGTATTCCCGTTTCTACTATTGTCTGGGCCTATCATTGCTCACCAGCATGGTCTGACAGTGGGCAGATCACTAGGTCATGAAGCTATGGGCTAAGAGCCAAAAAAAGCGAACAGCAGTGTCATTCAGCATGGCCCCGGTGGGACTAGCGCTGTCGTCTCCCCTCTGCTGGCTCCTGTAGAAGGAAGGCACTGAGCCGCCTGCCTGGGAGGGTGCAGGTGAGGGCTGGGGGTGTCAACTGGACTCGACAGAGACACGCACAGGTGTCCCAGTACTGTGGACTGTCTCCACTTCCGCATCTGCCCGGGGTGTTCATTTCTAGGCAGGCCCCACACAGACACTCTTGATTTCTCACCTTGATGTGTGACCAGGGGCATTCAATGGCCCAATGCCCAGTCTGGCCCCCCAGGAGCGTCCCGATCAAAGCACAGTTGTCACATTCACGTGTGTCCCAGGCTGGCAAGCCAACACATGGATGATCACCCTGTTTTAATCTACTGTTTAGTGAGCACTTACTGTTTTCATGCAACCAAGCTAAGTGTTTTATATGTATGATCTGACTTTTTTCTTTTATTTCTGATTTTTTCCTGGGTTCTGTCATCTCATTTCAAATTTTCCATTTTTCCAATCACCTCATTTCTGAGGTTTTTCTCACTCTTAATTACACTGTTACTTCATAGTTTTTATCTTTTAAAAATTTCTTTCAGCTTGTTTTGAAATATTAGTTTACAGGTTTCATCTGTTCTATGGGCATTTCTTTATCATCTGTGCAGAATTTATTCTCTTTTTCTTATAGTTTGGCTAGGATCTGGTAAGAGTCCTTTTCTATTACTCACATTCAAGTGAAGTAAGTTTTCCCATACAGCTTTGCTAATTTTATGACTCTGAAATTCCCACTTCTGTTGTTTTTTCAGTGTGATCAGACACGGGGCCTCACACGTTCTCAGCTCTGCCTCTTGCTCTTTTATCTGGATGGCCATCGCTTCTGTTTGCACTTATTTTCCTTGTTGTCCTCAATTTGAATGTTCCTTCCATTAGAGTCTCCTCAATATTAGGGCTTCGACCTGGAAAGTTCTGAAGCTTCCTATGGGCCAGACCACTGCAGCAGCAAAACTTCCTATTGAAAAGGAAACTGACCCAGAAAGGCTGGCACTGAGACATATCCTAGTCAAATGAATGAATTTTAAAGAAAAAGAAAAACATCCTTTGGGCCTCCAGACAAAAAGCCCAAGAAACTTATGGTGGAAACAACAGCATCAATTTTAAACAGAAGATGTAGAGTAACATATCTAAGATATTCAAGGAAAGAAAAATGTAAGCTAGATATTTATATATAATCAAGTTGATACCTGGTTACAAAAAAAAAAAAAAGCTGCACACTTTTTGAAAGTAGGAGAACTCAGGGACCTGCCTCAACTGGACAGACATCAGTATGGGGACAGTGATGCCGTTCGCCAAGGAAGAAGAGATGTATCAACCAGTTGTGAGTCATGGAACTGAGTTGGACCCTGATTCAAACAAAGTGTTAAAAATATGTGAGACAACTGGGGGAATTTTTACTCTAATTAGATATTTGATGAGATTAAGGAAGTTGCTGTGTTGATAATTACTGGGTTTTAGGTATGTAAGGTCATTCTACTATCCTCTATACTTTTCTGTGTTTGAAACTTTCCATAGTGAAAAAAGTTTTAAGATGCTTATCTTAGCATTATTTGTGATTATGAAAACCTGGAAACAATAAAAGGATCGTTCAGTAAAGCACAGAGTCGCCCTTATGAGGAAGTGCTTCATAGTCATGAAAAGTTATGTTTAGAAAGAAGAGGTAATGGAGAATTGCTCGTGTTAGTATCTACACACAGACGATACTGAATATGTGAAACTTCCATATATGTGCTTAGCTAAAAGACTGGAAGGAGATTTATAGTTTTCAAACATAGTCTCTCATTCTTTCATTCATGTATTCATTCATTTGATCACTTGGTAAATCAGCCAGCCAGTCAGTTACTCAGTAACTATTTATTCAGTGACTGCTATGTGCAAGGTAGCTCTTTCTGCTCAAATCCTTTTTTAAAGGTCTCCAAGAACAGGCCTCCAGATACAGAAGGTGAGATAGACTAAAGTTCTGCTCCATTCTGACTGCAAAATAACCTTCCAACACTCCATCCAACACCACCAATCCCACCAACCCCACCGACCCCGCCTTCCACAGCCTCTCCTAGGTCTGCCTCTGTGGTCCCCTCCTTCTCCATGTGACCTCTCATTGCCCCTCAGCTCTCTGTCCTGAGCCACGTTTCTGCACCCTCTCCTTGTGGGTGCTCCAACCACTGTCCGTGGATTTAAACACTAGCCTATGCTGGTAACTCCCAACCGGGCATCTCCAATCTTCCTTCTCCCTTGAGCTCCGGATGATATCCAGCCATTCCAGCCATTCACCTGACATGTCTGGGGCTGGAATTAATGCATCTCCACTAGGGTGTCTCACAGCCATTGGAACTTAACATGTCCAGAATGGAATTCTGATCAATGACCCACATAAAGGCTGTTTAGAAACAAACTTACATCTGCAGCTCTGTCTTTGTTATCAGTGTAAATGACACCCTGCTCCCCATCACCCAAGCCTGAGTCTGGCAGCCTTGACTTCTCCTGGCTTAGCCCATGTGGGATAGTGGCAGGTTCATCAGTTCTGTCTCTAAATATACCTTGACATTCCCTGCCATAATCTCTCCCCTGGACCTCTCTCTCCAACAGTCACCTACGTGGTTTCTCAGCTTCCATTCTTGTCTCCTCCAGCACGTTCTCTACACAGCAGTGACAGACAAATCTAATCACGACACTCATCTTAAACCTGTTTACTGTGCTTAGAACTATTAATATTTAGGTCATTAAATATGAAATGTCCGATTTCAAATTAAAAGTGTAGTTTATTACATCTCAAACAAGAAGCAGTACAATTGATCAAAGTATGCGCCTAAACTATCGACACAATTTTGCCATCTTAACGGTAGCTTGTTTATGCCAGCAGTGAAGAAGCCTGGAGAGTGAGTGGTGATGCAATCATGAAAGGCATTTTCCATAGCTTGTTGAGAATTGAATATTTTTCCTTGCAAGAAGTGGTCCAAATCCTGGAAGAAGTGGTGGTCTTTTGGTGCAAGGTCTGGTGAATACGGTGGATGACAGAGAGTTTCCAAGTCCGGCTTCTGTAGTTTAAGCAATGTTGTTTGTGTGACATGTGGTTGGGTGTTGTCTTGCAAGAGGATTGGCCTATCTCTGTTGACCAATCTCAGCTACTTAATCGCAAGCATCCTCATCATTTCATCCAACTCGTTGCAGTAGACATCGACTGACCAGGTTTCGTGAAGCTACAGTGGATAATACCAGCGCTGGACCACCAAACAGACACCATAAGCTTTTTTGGATGAGTATTCAGTTTTGGACCGTGTTTCAGCACTTCATCTTTATCCAACCATTGTTGCAAATGCTTGCGATTGTCAAGAAGAATCCATTTTTCATAATATGTAGCAATACAGTGTAGAAACGGTTTGCCTTTATGTCATGACAACAAGAAAGGCAAGCTTCCAGACAATTTCTCTTCTGATGCTTGTTTATTTCATGTGGAACCCATCTATCCAGCTTCTTTACCTTGCTGATTTGTTTCAAATGGTCCAATATTGTTGGAATAGTGATGTCAAACCTTGCTGCTAATTCACGCGTGGGTTGAGATGAATTCACTTCCACTACAGCTTTCAGCTCATCATCATCCATCCTGGTCTCAGGTCA